CTATTTTCCTTTGTTACATAATTATGTTTATAAGTACTAACTAGAACTTTCTGTGAGTACATGAATTTAGGCATTTCTGGAAGCATGGAAAGAAGCATGTCAATGGAACGGAAGGGCACGGGTTGTGGTTCCCAGAGGTACATTCAAGTTGTATCCAGTGATATTCTCAGGTCCATGCAATGGTCCGATCGCCTTTCTGATTGAGGGGACTTTGAGGGCTTCAATTGATCCATCAACATTTAGTACTGACAGTTGGATAAACTTCCGGTACATCAATCAGTTGGTAGTGACCGGAGGCGGTACCTTGGACGGCCAAGGAGCCTCGGCTTGGCATCTGAACAACTGCAAAACCAATCCCCAATGCCAGGCTCTTCCTATTGTAAGTTCTTGATAGAACTTCTCTCTCATTTTTTTTTAAATGGAAATGTATTAATGTAGGCTCTTCCTTCATGTCCTATTATTTTGCTACTAAATTAAATGAGTAGTGCTAAAAAAATGTAGTTGACCATATTAGGTGACAATTAATAGGTATATTTTACTACTTATTATGACAAATCTTAATTTATATATTTATTAACTGCCTAATTTGGCCAGAAAATGTGATAAACTAGATAGAGACTTTTTTTTTAAACAAACGATATTTTTTGGGGAGTGTGCTTAGCCTCATAATGGGTTAGCAATAATGTGGCTCAAATTTGCCTTTGATGATAATCGAACCTAAGACCTCTCACTTACAAGTGAAGAGGAGGACTACCACTAGACCATAATACTAAGTGGCAACTAGATAGAGACCTTAAAAGATATGCATTACTTTTTTTTGTTCTAGATGATAAAAAACTTGAAAGATATGCGTTTGTACCCATTTTGAAAAATTATTGTGTAGAACGTAATATGTACCAATATATATGTTATAACCACATGAGCATCTCCACATCCCTTTTGCTGCGCCACATCAGCAAAAACTTCCTCCAAGGATGAGGTAATTGGCTTGGCGAAAAAGCCCTAGGAAAGTTTGATAAGGTTATTTTGCCTTACGAAAAAGTTTGGGCAATGCAAAAGTGATATTTTTAGGCATTGTTTGCGCAATGCAGAAGTGATATTTTTTACGAATTTGTTTGACCAATTGCTTTATTTTTTGGAGTCACTAATTTTTTGTGTTGGCAAATATTGAAGACAAATTTTCACATATGCCATCAAAGTACGTATTTATCTTAAAAATTTGCTATATCCCTTGAATATGCTCTCTAAATACATAGTATTTGTGTTGTTGATTATTCCACTAGTACAATTTAACATCTTGTTCTGTCTCGTGAAATATTATCATATCAGTCTATGAGTTTTGACTTCATCACAAACGCAAGAGTTGAATACATAAAATCATACGACAGCAAGAATGCCCATTTCAAAATTTTCGGATGCCACAACATGGACTTCAGGAAAATCAAAGTCTCAGCTCCAGCAGACAGCCCGAACACCGATGGCATTAAGATCGGAAGCTCATACCGAATTAGAATCGCACGTTCCACAATCGCAACGGGCGATGACTGCGTAGCAGTGGTGACCGGAAGTAAGAAAATCCACATTTCTAAAGTTGTGTGCGGTCCCGGGCATGGAATCAGCATCGGAAGTCTAGGAGGGCATGACAAAGAAGACGCTGTGGTAGGAGTGGTGGTGAAAAACTGCACATTTTTGGGAACGGAGAATGGTGTGAGGATCAAAACTTGGGCTTCTCCTTATACCAGCAAGGCTTCGAATTTTACGTTCCAAGACATTTTTATGGATGATGTTCTGAATCCCATTACAATCGATCAAGAATATTGCCCCAACCCTCCTTGCCATCAACAGGTATATATTTTACATGAACCCAGTTCCTAGCTAATATATATTTGTCCCTTGCATTCCCTATAGAAAATAGATACACAATAAATACATACATACATATATATATATATATATACATGATAATATTTTCTAATTAGGTTTTTGACCTATTAGTTGTGTGACTAACAATTTAATTAGGCTATGCAGTTAAACAATTTCCACCCAATTAGTAGTCTATACCAATATTAGAACAAAATAACATCTCTTTCTTTACAAGAGAAAATTTTCCTATAAATTTAATTTCTTCATTAAAAAAATCTCTAGCTATTGATGTTTTTTGTGTTGATACGGTGTTTATGTTTATAACTACTTCATTTTCCGCTTTTGTTTTATTATCTTTATAAATACATACCTAAACAACCTTGAATTTAAAATGCTCAATCTTGAAGAAGAAAAAACTTCAAATACATGTAAGAGGATCTTATTTTGTACCAATATAAGAGAATATCTCTCAAAACAATTTGACTTTTATATGTTGCTGGACTATTGAGCAGAAAGTAGAATCTAATTTGAATGTGTGACCTAGATTAACAGTTAAGAATTAACGTCAAACTGTGTCTATCTGATGATAAAAGAATATTACCCTATAGCAGTGTTCAAATCATGATTTAGATCTTATTCGTCACATGATTTAGACTGCAATTATTCGACAAAAAAAAAACTTAATTGAACAAGGGGTTTCTTCTTTCTTGTGTGCAGACTTCTTCGAACGTGCAAATCAGCGACGTTACATACAAAAACATATGGGGAACTTCCTCGTCGGAAGTAGCCGTAAGTCTCCGATGCAGCAAAAGCAGGCCATGCAAGAACGTAGTGCTGGACATCATCAAGTTGTCCCCTTCCAATCCCAGAGAACGTTTGAGTTCCTTCTGCTTTTATGCAAAAGGAGCCTCTTATGGCTTACAAGCCCCTCCATCTTGCTTATAGTTGTAGCTTAATTAGCTTTATGATTCCAAGTTTTATGGCTCACAAACCCCATGTTTATCTTTTAATCATAAATCTGTAGCTAGAAAATCACCTAGTTTTGATTGTATAGTGTCAAAGAAACATGAATTAAGCAGCTGGTGGATCTAGTTATAGAAAAATTTGCATATATCATAGTTAATGTAATCAATATCTATTATAAATCCAATTAAGGGGTTTCCTGCAGTTTCATCCACCTAGTGGAATTTCATGAGTGTTCAAGTGGTTGTGTTATTTTCATTGGTATACACTGAAAGAGGAGGGGATCAAACACGAGATTCTAATTGAGTGTATGAATAAATGCTTACCAGTTGAACTACAAGCCCCATGTCTCGTGTTTGGTCTCTAGAATTGAATTCAATTAGATATCGCTAGATTTGATTGTCTTACAGGAACAAGTGCACCTCAAATCTAGTGAGTTATTGGAAAACAAATGTGGGGGCACTTCTAAGGTGTTCATATCCTAAGAGGTGGACTGCAACAAGAAACTTGGGTATCAAGTATCTCATTGCTTGAGAAAGGTGGTGGCAGGATTGGTTAAGATTGATTAATTAAGTGAAGGTTCTATGATTGCAGATCCTTTGAACAAACCATTCCCAATTGTAGTCTTCAAGAAACGCATTGCAAGGATGGGAGTGTTAGCTGATTTTAACAACAACAAAGCCTTTTCCCACTAAATGGGGTCAGCTATATAAATCCTAGAATGTCATTGCGCTCGGTTCTGTGTCATGTCTTCCATGGGAGCTGTGTGTTAATGCTTCTTTCAGTTAGCTGATTTTGATGCAACAAATTCGTGGGAGCTGTGTGTTAATATTTCTTTCAGTCATTACGTTCTCAAATACAAGTTGTTAAGTTTTGAAATATGCATTGAAGCACTGATGATAAAGCCTTCCTAACTTATAAAGTTTATTGCTGTTGGTTGTTTAAAGTTTCCCTTCAAACACAGCATTTTAGTTATGATAGTATATGTCAAATATATTTTGGATGACAGTTCGTAGAATTGTTATAAGGATTAACAACCAAAGGAGATTCAGTCTGAAGCATTAAGATGAATGTTTTCTCAGTTATAAAGAGGACCGAGTGTTGGATGTGTTTTTTATTTTTTTTTTTGAACAATCGATATTGTCTACGCTAACGGGGTGGTGTGTGATAGTGGGCTAAACCTCACAATGGGCTAGCAATAATGTAGTTCAAATTCATCTTTGACGAGAATTGAACCTATGACCTCTCACTTAGAAGTAAAGAGGAATATCATTAGACCATAGTACTAATGACAAAAACTTGTTATCATGGACTTTGTTAATTCTAATCTCGTGGCCACTCAAGTAGGATTCCATGTTTATGTTGTACTGTGATGAACAAGTGTTGGAATGAACAAGTGTTGGCTCTAGTCGGACAATGCAAGTCTTATTAGAGCCAACACTTGTTTTTCACGTGCTTAAAGTCTGGAATCATAAGAGATTAGGATTGGCTATACTTGTAAGCCATTAAGGAATGTATTGGAAGTTTCATAGCTAGATAAGAATAGGTTTGTTTCAAGCTGATATGGATGCTATAGTTTTGTGGTGACAAGGATTGGTTTGATAAGGATTATATAATGGGAAGCGTCCTTGTTGAACACCATCGTTTCCAGCATAAATTAGGGTCCTGCTCTCACATTTGATATGCAATACAAAAAGCCTCAAGCCCCATAAATTGAGTGTTGTATCCTGGGAGGCCGGGAGTGTTGAGAAGCAGAATAACTATAACCCTAGCATCAATGGCTTCTTCATGTAAGTGGTTGAATTGCTACTGTGATATGATTTCCGCTTAGTTAATAATCTTACAGGAGATGGTAGACAGACACGACTCATCTTGGTCTGCTATGTTCACTAGACAACCTGTGCATAAAATAAGCTACGAGTAATTCCTACCGCAGTCCGTCATCGATGATTTCGATGTCGGATATAGCCGAAAAATCCTTTACAGCTCAAAACTGTAGCATAAAGGGCACAAAACATCTCACAAACAAGGAAAAGGTTAGCGAAACATAGAAGGGAACCTAGGTTTGAGAAAGTCGGAAATATCTTCTGGTTCCTTGGTGCGAAGTTTGTTGCTGGGTTTCTTAGTCACCTGGTGTTTTACCCTCCTAGAATTACATCACATCAGAATTTAACTAGAGCATTGGTAACTGGAGCATTGCAACGTTTATTCAGTAAATACAAATCGGTATTTAAGCTTTTGAGTGCGTGCAGTATGAGCAAGGACATACTCAGAGTCATAACAGAACTGAACTAGAACTAGAACTAGAACTAGAACTTTAAAAACAAAGAGGAGGTTAAATGTACGATTGCCAAGATCCAAACCATCTTTTAAAACTTCAACTGAAGCAGGGTAAACTGCGACGGAAAAGATGGAAATACTGAAAGGAATAGACGATAAAACAACAAAGTTCCTCAGACTTGTAAAGCCCTCCAAGCTCCATCCACGGATCTTTTCTTGTGGTATTGGTTAATGCAATGGACGAGTAACGCGTGGTCTCACAGGTGTCTTTGAAGGACTTACCCTACAGAATTATGATATATGCAAGATATTAGAACGTTGAATCACTCGAAGAATTATGATAAACCTCATTGGATCAGTGACCACACCTGATGGGTTGTGCTCCCAACACCATTCCGCTACAATTGAGCGCAAGTATAGCACTTTCCGCCTGTTATCAGTGAAAAAGAGTAAGGCAATAGAGTTTTTCAAGAGAAAGATCATTTGTGTCGAGGAATTACAGCCAAAAAGTTTAAATTCCTGTAGAACATTTTGCTAAACATCCAATGGAATGCCACATAAATCTCCATATGCAGTCGTAATAATAAAACGAATTACACTGGAACAATGGACCTCAAATCACCACATACCCTCCACACATTCACAGCATAATCAAAGATGGAAATACTAGCTTTCTAATGGAAAGATCAAAAAGGCACAGCAGAAAAATTTGACGTATTGGGTTTTTTTAAAATTTCTTCATTATGTCATATCACAAGTATGCCAGTCTTAATAAATGAAATACTGCCAAAGCATATAATGTGTGGATGTCCCTTAGTAAGCAGATATGCTGATACTTTGAAGTTAAACGAATATCACATTGACAAAAGGATAGAAGATGGCATACGAGTGTCAAACCCAAAAGAACTACAACAGAAGTGCTAAGTCCAGCACATAAAAACACACTGCGACGATAATACACGAGCTCAGTCATTCCAAAATAACCTAAAATACAGAAGTTCTAATGCACAAGCTCATTTCCACCATGGCAAAGATAATTCCATTTTACTTGGAACAACAGTTCAAGTTCCCGATAATACATTATGTGAGCTATATAGCAACAAATGCTAGAACATTAGAGCAAAGTGCCTTTTTTCTTATTTCTAAATCTTTTTTCTACAAAAGTTTGTCTCACACTGCAAACATACGAGATTTTTTTATCCTCCTGCTGAATGGGATGGAGAAGAGGAGGAAACAATGCACGGATTTAAAAAAATAATAATGAATCTGCGTGCATCATTTGAGAAAATGACAGATTTCTATAGCATGGATCCTAATTTATTCCCAACAAAATCTTCGTCCCACTTCTCTTACATAACAACAAAAAGTTCAATAAATGGAAAAGGAACCTTTCTCAGAGAAACAACTTAAATCCTAGACTTCAAAGCTATTTACCAAAGAATATGCAGCAGAGCCTAGAAAAATAAAGAAGTTAAAAGCAGTATAAAATTAATAAGAAAACCCTTAGCAACAAGAAGTGGTATTCAGTCCAATAGGAGCTTCCCAAACTCCTCAATGCACTAATACAAAAGCAGTTCATGAAGTTACTTTTGGAATGCAATTAACATATGCCATTTCATTTATTTTTTTTTAATACACATTAGCATACGAAAACATAGTGACATAAAAAATCCTCAGCCAACCGCAAAAATAGATCGGACCAAAAAAGATAATGAGCATATCTTATGTCTGTACGTATATACTACGCACCATAATAAGAAGTAAGGACCAGATATCACTTTTCCACATGATTTGTAATCAAAATAGAAACGCAAACGGAAAAAGATCAAATATGGTGTAGCAGTATGCAGATTCAACCCAAACATAATGAGCATATCTTAACAAATGTTTGACTCTAATCTTCATTAACCTTAATGTTGTAAGCTCACCATTGCAAATTCAACAAAAGCTATACGAGTTGAATGCACATGATCCCCCAAAAGCCTCAAACGAGTAACCTGCAAGTTTTAAAAAGATATCAATATGAAGTCAGCTTCAATAACACACACCATTCAACCATAAAATGATAAATAAATAACATGCTTTGGAACTCATCCTACCTCACCACAAGCTGTTTCAAAGAAATTCTTGACTTCAGCTTGAGCAACCTGCGCACATACAGAAAATTATCGAAGATTCCAGTTATTCAACTGCCATATATGTGTGCATGGGGAACAAGGATGCACTGAGGAAACCAAAAATTTCATTCTGGTAAAACAGGAATAGTGTATACCTTCTTATCAATATTTGTACAATACACAGTCCTGCTACACATTTCCCGCTCATCTTCCGACTGCAAATGAAATCATAAAAAATCTTATAAGCAAAAATCTTCATAGTGAAACCTTATCAAAACTTTAATACACACATCATTAAGAAAATAAAGCCAAAATTTTTAAGAGTTGTTCATACCCTGGGGAGGAATGTAGGATTCACAGGAAGGATGGCAGTTTTTGAGGGTAAGACCCTGACAGGATAGTACCCAAGCATTGTCCCACCAAGGCTCAAAGCAGCTCTCGCACCATCTGTATGACAAAACTACCATGTAACATGCTATACATGCAATCATAAAATGTTATAGAGGGCTTGCAGACCAAAATAAAAATCTTACGCTCATCAGCAAACTCCACAAATGCAAAACGGAGTACTGAATGCGGATCACCACAAATCCGGCAGTCAACAACCTTCAAATATAAATATTACAACAAAAGTTTAGGTCTTCCATTTAAGGTAATAAACACTGAGGAAAAAGAAACCACGTTATTAGACCCTATTATCCTTTCAAAAGACCTAACTTACATATTTGACATTAACAACAATGCTTATGGCATTAACAACAATTCCTAATGCCAAAAGAATTAGGGTTGGGTGAAGGACTTCCAAATTCCAAGAGATTTAGGCAAAGTGATGAAGAAATGGATCACAAAAAGTTAGATGGGAGGGACTAGAAATGCATCACATGAGCAACAAAAGTATGTAAGAGGGTATGTAAGAGCATTACAAATGCAGCAAGGGAAACTACACCTCTTTCTGTAAAAACAAAACTAACTGCAAACAAGCTTATTTGGCTTTGGAAAAGTGGAAAAGCATACATTAGAAAATCGTGAGTCTTTTCTGTAATGTGTAAAAGACAACTGATATGATTTCGTATTCAAGTAAAAGAAAATCAATTAGGGAAATATCTTTATTAAGAAAAAGCCTTTGTTGTTTCAGTTACCAAGATAATAGAACTATCCGTCTGAGAAACTGAGATTGAACTGGAAATTGACAGCAAGATTAACTTTTATTATGTTTCTTTACCCTGCATAACATTTAGTTTAAAAATTTGGAAACTTTATGTGACCTCAACTCCCTCATAGATCATGTAAAGGAAATAAGATCATTAAGTCAAGCTCTTTATCTTCTTCCACTACCCTTAACGTCGTCAAATGAGCAGGGCAATAGTACCACCTGGATATGTGAGATTGAACTGGAAATTGACAGCAAGATTAACTTTTATTATGTTTCTTTGTCCTGCATAACATTTAGTTTAAAAATTTGGAAACTTTATGTGACCTCAACTCCCTCATAGATCATGTAAAGGAAACAGGATCACTAAGTCAAGCTCTTTATCTTCTTCCACTACCCTTAACGTTGTCAAATGAGCAGGACAATAGTACCACATGGATATGAGTTAACATGGCAAGCATGTGAGCAACTTTTATTCACGTTAGTATAAATCTGGATTGACAGACCACACTGAAACAATTTTAAAAACTCAAAGAGGCAATGTCTGAAAAAAATACAGGGACTAATATGGAACATTTGACAAAGCAGAAGAAAAAGTGAAGGGAGTAAAGTTTAGACTACCCTTTCATTTATTATAACTATAAATTAATCACCCATTTGTAGTCAGACTGTATTCAAGAATAAACCCTAGAAAGCAAGAGTCTCATGACAATAATCCATAGCCACAATACGGAAGAAAGCTCTTTTCCTCTTAATGTAAAGATATTTACCAACCAAAGTCCAGCAGAACTATAGTCCGAAATAGTACAATCTCATTTATATTAACATCAATAAGAAAACAAAGGCACGATACATAGCTTAACATAGAGCCAATAATAGAAACACCAAAATCTCTTAGCCAGAAAGAATATCAAAGCAACCTCAAACTATGTTGAACCCATGTGTGGATGTGGATCAATTCAATATGTCATTTTGTACAGGTGTTGCATACAAGGTACCATAAATAAACTTGTTTATGCCAAAAGTTTCAATGATAATAATCCTAAATGTAAACTGGCAGAGGATAATCAAATGGCATTCACAAACACTAATACAATATACTTTGTCACATGATCTCAGTCCTCATTGTTTAGAAAGGAAAGATAGTAGTAAGCAGCATAGAACATGAGAGTTTCCATTTCAGGAAGAAGTGGATGATAGCTAATCTTACGAAGGAAAAAAAGTCTTGTTATAGAATTCATGCTCTATAAGTTGAACCACAAAATTCTAGAGAAAGCAAAGAAAAGAAAAGGATGCCCCAGGTCTGAATTTACATTGAATAACCACAATTTGTAAAATCAGAAAACATAATCTGGGAAAGCAATGCAACTTACTTGTCCGCAACTACTAAATATGGCAGCAAGACGCTCTTCGGTAACCTATATAAGAAAAGGAGAGTTTTTATAACAGCTATTTGATTGAAACTAGAAAGGCAAAGAAAACCCAATCCAGGAATCAAGATCTTATAATTCACTTACTTGCTGATCAATATCAGAAACATATACTGTTCGCCTAATACTACTTTCCCGCTCAGCTCTGAAAGCTCTCCCGCTAAGTCTTCGCTTCTCCTGATTAAAGTTATTTCTTCTCTGGAAAACACGAAAGGTACAAATTAGTATAATCCTAACAAAATATAATGAAAGAAAATAATAACTACATGTGTAGAGTTATCGCAAGCAACTTCCTAATGAAACTGTCAATTTTGTTTTTCTCAAGCTAAGTCGTTTAAAGGTCTCAGTTGATAAGAGTTCCAACAACTAAATCCGTATAATGAAATTACTAAAAATCATAGTTATAATGACAATAACAATAACAACCATGATCAGAAACATAATTATGATTGAAAAAGTGCACCAAACAGAACTCCATGCCGAATGACAAAAGCGATTGCTATGCATATCCCAAAAGACTCTGCTAACCGAATGCGCAGTGACTTTCCAACACAAACACACCACCCCTACCAAAACAGAATATACACTGAAAATCTGAAGGACCAACAAATACATAGAATTCGTATACTCACAACAAGAACAAATAAAAACTCGAACTCCAGATCATGAATTCAAACTATACCAGTAAACAACCGAATTTTAATCACACACTACAGATATCATGAATTCAAATCAGTAAACAACTGAATTTTAATCCGACACTACAGATGCAGTTACAATACTGGAACATATACACCCTGTTCATTTGTATCATAATCAGCAATCACTAAGCCATTTGAAAATTTATGATCATTAAGGAAAAAATTGTTGCAGCAGAGAACTCAAGAACCTCGCCTACCGACAACCCGAATAGCAACCAAATTATCAATTCAACAATAAACCCAACTCAAATTACATTATATGATATTACAACAAATAGAAAAGCCCCGTTTAGCTCAAATCCATTACATAATTCATATTCATAAGAAAAAAATATATATAAAACCAACCCTATATTCAAATTACACAAAAAAAAAAAAGGAAAAAAAAAAGAGATCAAAAGAGAATGATCATTACCCTTCGAATGTTGGCCTGATTATCATTGGGTGAGAGCTTATTGTTATTGACAGAGTTTTCAAAATTGGAATGGTGCTGGGGAGAATAAGATGAAGGGAAGAACTCTTTGGCTAAAGGGTTGAGCTTGGTGAACATATCCACCAGCTTCTGCACATCGAATTCTGATTTGGATTCAGAAATGGGTTTTGACATTGAATCCAAGTTGGAGTTTTTGGCAGAGGCTGCCTCACCGGAAATCTCAGAAACCGCAGCCATAGAATCAAAACCCACCACAGAGATTTTTATAAAAACAGGAAGGGAAAAAATAGCAGCTTCTACAATAAGAAAGATTGAAAATTTATAAGAATTAAATAAAAAAATAAAACTATATTTGTTGCTCTTGTGCTCTGTGTACGTAGCTGTCCCTCTGCAAATGAGGGTTTATTAGAGCTTTGAGATTTTAGAGCGTAATTGAAGAAAAATAAACAAAAACGAAAAATGATTGAAAAGAAAATGGTTGGAAGAGGAAAATGAATATGGGTTTAGTGGAAAATGATCAGAGAGCTGAGGTGGTGATGGAGATGGATGGAGGTGTTGGGAGGAGCAAACAGTTGGCTTTCGGGTTTGGCTTCTTTCGCTAAATGCTCTAACCCTTCTCTCTCTCTCTCTCTCTCTCTCTCTCTCTCTCTCTCTCTCCCCTCTTATTTTCTTTCTTCTGTGTGGTTTTTTATTTTGGGTTTGGTTCTTTGGCTTGGGTTTCTGAGAGAGGAGAGACAAGAGTGTGAGTAACAGTCATTCATGTCATTTGTTCAAGTGTAACAGATATACCTATGTCATTCAAAACTACCCCTTGAGTTTTTCTTTTTCTTTTTTAATTTTTTTTATATAAGAATGGATAATACGATAACTTGTTTTTCTGAGATTTCTAACAGTCAGTAACAGTAAAAATTAAATTTATTTGTTCTTTGGCTTAGTTTGCGCAGGTTGGGTAAGAAAGTGTGTCGATTCCTTTGCAACCAAATTCTAAGTCTGTTTTTTTTTTCATTTTTTTTATTTTTTATTTTTTTATAATAACAATTAAGCTTTATTCTACTAAATGGGATTTGATGTATAAATTATAGAACGTCATTGCGTTTGGTTTTGTACGTCTTCCGTTAGCTCCAAGTATTTGATATCTTTTTTTTAAATTTCTTTCCAAATCTTCATAAGGCTTCATCTATCACTTTTGCCCTGAGCTTCCGTTTCATAGTCGTATCTTCTAACCAAAGCAATTGTAGGCATCTGGCCCACGTGTCCAAGTCACCTTAATCGATTTTCTCTCATCTTATCTTTAATTGTGGCCACTCCTATTTTATCACCGATATCCTCGTTCTTAATCGTATCCCTTCTTGTGTGCTCAAACATCCAACAATGCATTCTCATATTCGCTACACTCATTTTTTGCACGTGTTGATTTTGGACCATTTACCATTCTGTGCCATAAAGCAGTATTGGCCTTGTTGGCGTCCTATAAAATTTTCCTTTAAGCTTTAGTGGTATACGATAATCACACAACACACTCGATGCACTTTTCCACTTCACCCATCCAGTTTGTATTCTATGGTTAAAATCAAATGAAAAATGTTCATTTTAAGTGGATACGACGATGGAAGTTTTTTTTTTTTTTTAAGTTGGAATAATTAAAATATCGTTTTGTTAAAATCATGTAGCATATGTTCATGTATTATTGCTATGTTTGGGGAATATAATTTCATAGTTAATGTGTACAACTTTCTACTTTATATATTCTGCAAATTTGTTGTGCCACAAGAATATGTTCCTATTGCCTTTAGGCAATGTGGTTGGTTTGGAGTGTTTTGAGTCATTTGACTTTTGATTGTAGGGTTTAGTGTGGAGTTAAAAGAGGATGGTCCATGTGGGGGAATTTTATGCCACATGTCAATTTGAGTTTCTTTTCGGTATTATACTCCATTGTAATACATGTTAATCAATGAATCAATGGACTGTTTAGTCTTTTTAAATCCCTATCTTGGTGATGGTCAAAATTTCATTTCGTATGTCATGACAATACGAGTGACAATGATATCTTCTTAATGTTAGAGTTCTTTTATTTTCTTAATCCAATCTTTTATTGTTTTTTTTTTCTATTATTGTCCAAACTAAGAATTATGTCATGACAGTAATAAAAATTGTCATTTAAACATATATTATAGTTTAGTAACATTTTTCTTCACTCGAATTTCGTGAATGATGAATTTAACACCACCGTATTAGTATAAATATGCCATTGTATAAAAAAATTAATAAAAACACAAAGATTTTCTTTAAATAAAAGAAATTTTTGATTAAGTCATGATATATAAACTCATTGAGAAATTGTATGTCACGACAAAATGAGTGACAATGATGTTTCTTAATGTTAGATTTCTTTTTTTTTTTAATCTAATATTTATTCTCTTTTTTCTATTGTTGTCTAAACTAAGAATTTTTAATAGAAAATTTCCACTTAAACTTAAAATACAGTCTGGTAGGATTTTTCTTCATTCGAATTTGGTGAACAACGAATTCAATACCACCGTATTAGGATCACTATCATTCTAGGATTCCCCTTGTTTACTTGGATAAAGGAATAAAGAAAAACTATGTGGCCCATCAGAAAATTATTTATTAAGGAATGATAATATATAGGGGAGGTGAGAATGGAAAAGGATGATTCAGAATTATTATTTTTTATACACCAATGCAGCCCTTACATTTTCTAATGTTGAAAAATAAAGTTTATTTTGTATGAGGGTATTCTAGTGAACAACAAATGTTATTTTTTGTTTACCAAAATAAAATAACTAATGTATATTGTTATTTCTGCTCGTTAGTAAACATTTCATTTGGCTTACCTTTAATTTTCATTTCATTTATTGACGGTTAGTAAACACTTAATGAAATTGTTTCTTTCCGTTTCATGTGAATCCTTGATAACCCAATTCCTACTCATTCTAATTCCTTCTTATTCCGATTCCATGTATATAAACATGACATGAGTTTTCCGATTTATGACTCTCCAATTTCAAGTAAATAAACATGTCATTAGAAGTAATTTTCCTTTTATCTTGATTTCTTAGAGGTTTTAAGCCGTTGAGGTGAGCCAAATAGGTTCTCATTAGGCCTGGCAAACGGGTCGTGTCAGTCGTGTTCGTGTCGTTTTCGTGTAACACCTGTTATCTTAATGGGTCGTGTCGTGTCACACCCGTTATCTTAACGGGTCCTTAACAGGTCGTGTCACTTTACCCAACGGGTAAAGTGACCCGACCCGTTATGACCCGTTATGAAAAATATATATTTTTTTCTTAAATTTGCACATACCACACATTGCCACATAAATATTACTTCAAAACATTAAAACACATTTGTCGTTTAAGTACTGCATCTACACTCGAAAATAAGAGCCTAATAAAAAAATAATACATACACTACTAATCTATTACAAATTTTTAATGTGCAAGGATATGCAAAATGAAACAGTTTTTGTTTTCAAGGTTGTGAAATATTTCTCAAAAGTTTAAACCTCAATTTACAAAATCCTCGATTTACATCGATCATCATGAAATTGCATTGGAACTTTGGCTTGATCTATTGCCTTCAAGAGTTATGTTGATGATGTTTTCAGTAAGGTTTTCCACGTCATAACTATCTTCTGCATAAACTAAGCATAGAAAAACCAAACATTAAAAATCATTCAAAATTATGAGAAGTTTACCAAAATAATTATGAAAAAAAAAATAAAACAATAGTACTATACCATACTTTTATTAAGTATAAACATAAGATTTTGTGGTATCCACTAGTGTAAATATTTTAAATTGAAGATCGAATTCAATCATTGTATTCATATAAGGTCAAGGAGTGTAGTTGTAAAAAATCATCAAAATCGGAGTTAAATTAACCGTTAAATCGTGATTTTTCGTTTATAACCGTCGAAAAGTTTTGTCCCGTTACGTGCTCTCTGAATGTTTGTTTTTTGCAATTTTTGGTGTATGCGATCTCGAAATATATACAAACATATTTGACGGTTTGATCATTGAAACTAGTTTCGTAGAATGAGTATCCCATAAAAACAATATATTCACTAATACTTAAGAGTTTATTCATACTTTTATTAAGTATAACATAAGATTTTGTGGTTTCCACTAGTGTAAATATTTTAAATTGCAGATCGAATTCAATCATTGTATTCATATAGGGTCAAGGAGTGTAGTTGTAAAAAATCATCAAAATCGGAGTTAAAATGACCGTTAAATCGTGATTTTTCGTTTATAACCGTCGAAAAGTTTTGTCCCGTTACTTGATCTCTGAATGTTTGTTTTTTGCAATTTTTGGCGTATGCAATCTCGAAGTATATATAAACATGTTTGACGGTTGGATCATTGAAACTAGTTTCGTAAAATGAGTATCTCATCAAAACAATAGATTCACTAATACTTAATAGTTTATTCATACTTTTATTAGTGTAAATATTTTAAATTGAAGATCGAATTCAATCATTGTATTCATATAGGGTCAAGGAGTGTGGTTGTAAAAAAACATCAAAATCGGAGTTAAAATGACCGTTAAATCGTGATTTTTCGTTTATAACCGTCGAAAAGTTTTGTCCCGTTACTTGATCTCTGAATGTTTGGTTTTTGTAATTTTTGACGTATGCGATCTTGAAGTATATACAAACATGTTTGACGGTTGGATCTTTGAAACTAGTTTCGTAGAATGAGTATCCCATCAAAACAATAGATTCACTAATACTTAATAGTTTATTCATACTTTTATTAAGTATAATATAAGATTTTGTGGTTTCCACTAGTGTAAATATTTTAAATTGAAGATCGAATTCAATCATTGTATTCATATAAGGTCAAGGAGTGTAGCTGCAAAAAATCATCAAAATCAGAGTTAAAATGACCGTTAAATCGTGGTTTTTCTTTTTATAACCGTCGAAAAGTTTTGTCCCGTTAATTGATCTCTGAATGTTTGTTTTTTGTACTTTTTGACGTATGCGATCTCGAAGTATATACAAACATGTTTGACGGTTGGATCTTTGAAACTAGTTTCGTAGAATGAGTATCCCATCAAAACAATAGATTCACTAATACTTAAGAGTTTATTCATACTTTTATTAAGTATAACATAAGATTTTGTGGTATCCACTAGTGTAAATATTTTAAATTGAAGATCGAATTGAATCATTGTATGAATAAGGTCAAGGAGTGTAGTTGTAAAAAATCATCAAAATCGGAGTTAAAATGACCGTTAAATCATTATTTTTCGTTTATAACCGTCGGAAAGTTTTGTCCCGTTACTTGATCTCTGAATGTTTGTTTTTTGCAATTTTTGGCGTATGCAATCTCGAAGTATATATAAACATGTTTGACGGTTGGATCATTGAAACTAGTTTCGTAGAATGAGTATCCCATCAAAACAATAGATTCACTAATACTTAATAGTTTATTCATACTTTTATTAAGTATAATATAAGATTTTGTGGTATCCACTAGTGTAAATATTTTAAATTGAAGATCGAATTCAATCATTGTATTCATATATGGTCAAGGAGTGTAGCTGCAAAAAATCATCAAAATCAGAGTTAAAATGACCGTTAAATCGTGATTTTTCTTTTTATAACCATCGAAAAGTTTTGTCCCGTTAATTAATCTCTGAATGTTTGTTTTTTGTAATTTTTTATGTATGCGATCTCGAAGTATATACAAACATGTTTGACGGTTGGATCTTTGAA